GAAGTTTGGGATTAGAGTTCAGATCAACAAAAAATAGTTTTCTCTTTTCTATCAAATCATTTTTCACATCTAATGAATTGATATTGATTTGTGACGAATCTGAATGTGTAGTGACTATAGAAACAATACAATTATCACTTTTATTATATTTTAAGTGATTATCACTTAAGCGTCCATTTAATTGACTGTCGTTTTCGATTAAATTAAATCGAGTCTCACTAATGTCTGGAAGACTACTTGTTCTTCGGGGAGAGGTATTGACTGATAAATAAGTCTCTGCTTTTTTACAATGAGTTGTATTCTAAGATTTAAATAAATATATTATTCATATATAAAGTTTACATAAGTTTTGAATTGAATGAAACCTTTTGAGAAGAAGAAGACGAGTGTTTAAAATATGGAAATATGTTGAGAATATGGAAGAAATGGGGCGCTTCTGATCGACAGGTGTCTAATGAATCAAACTTACTGACAACGACACTTATACACCCGCTACCCGTGTCCCTACCGCAAAGCGTAGATAAATTGCTATGTAGTGAAAATTACTCAAAAGGCAAACATCACTGGTTTCGATACCCTTGGCTAACGAGGCGATTATATCGATTTCGACGCATTTTATTCAAATGACTGAATCTGTGAGAGAGCGGAGGGCCGGACATCCTTCTGATGGACAGCACAACGTTAGTCAAGTGTCGACTCCTTAGCCCTTGACTTATGAAGTTAAGGATCATTGAAAGATAGGCCAAACCAAATATAATCCAAAGGACAACAATTAACTTATAGACCCAAATGTAGTGCTTTTCGAAACTTCCGGCGACATAATCGCCAAAACCTATCGTCGAAAGCGTTACAAAACAATAGTAGAAGCCTTCGAGAAAAGTCCAGTTTTCTATGAATGCAAACACAATTGCAGGCAATACTAGGAATACTAGAAACCACGGCACGAAAAATATAAGGCCTTTCTTTAATAACATTAATCGTATCGATAGTTGTCTTCTATATCTAGACTTTGCTTTTGTTATCTAATAAATAATTTAATTTATTGTAGAAAAATAATAATTAATATAGCATCAAGAATATTCTGTAAAAACTCACATTATTTGAGAAGCATATACTGAATCGATGGCCAATACCTCCTATTAGGAGACCAGTCATTGGAATACCAAATAATGCATATATTATACAAAAGAGTTTGCCTTTAATTAAGAATAAAATAAATATTAATTTTAAGGCAAACATAATAATTGTGTGGAAAGGATGTGATTATATACCGGAAGCGGTATAAGGAGTGAGATGTCCGTAACCTATAGTTGTGGTCACAGTTATGGCAAAGAAGAATGAGTTAAAGAAACTCCAATTTATAAACTCTGTTTTGTTGCCAAATCGGTCGACGAGATTCATGTCCTGAGCGGCCAAAAGCTTTTGTATCATTGATGTGATGTGTTCTTGGCTTATATTCGGGTGATTTATAAGCTTTAATTTATCTGTCGGTCAGATTAAATTAGATTAAATTGTTGATATATATTGCATATTACACGTAATTAACTTAAATATAAAAAGATAAATTATAAACAATTATATATTAAAAATAAGAAAATAAAATAAATATCTCATAAATAAAATGATATTTATGTAATAAAAAGTGTATAAAAACAAAATAAAATAAAACATAGTTGAATACCTCGGAAATCGTTGAGCAGATCGTCGATCTCCTGCCGCTTTTGGTGTTCAAGAGGTGCCTCCAAATACATGAAGACTGCGCCTCCGATTATCACATATATTATAAAAAACACCAAAAGTGAGGCAATTTGCCTAAAATCCATCGAAATGGCCTATAATTGTGCGAACAATAGACATAGTTTTGGTTTATAAAATTTTATTATGAGTTTTATTATTAAGTTTTTAAGTGAATAGAAAGTATTGTTCTGTGGAGTAAAGCATATTTAATGAATCCATTTATCAAAATATAATACAGTAATTAAAAGTCAATTAAAATAATAAAAATATATACATTTTTATCGCAACAAATTATTGTAGGCCTTAGAAAAATGATGGTATCATTAATTCGCACATTTTGTTGGATAGGTTTCAAACTTTTAGCGCCTATTTTCACGATCAGAGTTCTTGACTTAAATTAGTTTTTGGTTTTTATTCGTTCACAAATAGAGTCTATTTTAATATTTTTGTTAATTGTTTAAATTTTAGTTGGATAGGTTTCAAACTTTTAGCGCCTATTTTCACGATCAGAGTTCTTGACTTAAATTAGTTTTTGGTTTTTATTCGTTCACAAATAGAGTCTATTTTAATATTTTTGTTAATTGTTTAAATTTTACACGAAAAATCAATTGTAGAGAATTTGAAAATAAAAATATTTTTAGAATATAATACTTGTGTAAAGAAATATAGAAAATGTAGAATTTTTTTTGATAATTCAATTAAATACTTGTAAATCACTAATAAATTGCGAATAATAATAATATTTTTAAAGGTGTTAAAGGTTAAAAAATATTGTTTATAAATTAATTAAATTCGCAGCTAAAAATAAAACCATAATAAATTTAAGTTAATTATAACATTTACTGTATATTTAATAATACAGTAAATGCCTAAATAAGACATTATGCAGTATTATACACTGTTTTGCACTAATAACCAGCGGATGAACTACTAATTTATATTACCAAATACCTGCTAACAATACTTGGTACTTGCTTAACAAATATATTGACATGTGGTATGGAAATGTAACTGTGTTTATTAAGCTACAAAACGGTGCAAACCATTTTTCTCTATCTATTGTGGATCCGGAGATAATCTCATTTGAAAAGGTCATCCTCCAAAAACAGTGTATTTAATACCGCATAACAGTATAATACTGCATGTAATGTGTTATTTAGGCATTTACTGTATTATTAAATATAAAGTTTATTAGTTGTCTATAATTAACGTGTTTTAAAAATATACAACATTAATAATATTATTGAAGGGTTAATAAACAAAATAATTATAAGAACAATATGTTTGCAAACTTTTAAATAAATATTTAAAAAATTGTTTGTTATACTTATAAAGTAAATCAAAAATAGCTTATCCTTTATTGAGAACATAATATTTAATTTTAAAATATAAATATTTAATAAAATATATTTTATAAATAAACGAAAGAGTTTTTAAAACGAAGATATGATTCACAATAAATGGTTATAAATATGTAGTTTTCCGGCTATTTATAGATTGTTTAAATGTTTAGTTATTATGAAGTGTTTGTGTGGCTGTCATGTCATGTCAGGGCAATCGCCTCTTTTCCTTCAATAACTTTCGATTCCTATTTAGAAGTCATTTAATTAATGGCTTTAAAATCAACCAAAAACTACTTTAAAAATACTGCTCAATGCAACTTGATACTTTGTCGCATATAACAAAAACATATTTTCACTTCTTATTTTATTTTATTTTTAATTTAATAGAAATATATATTTATAAATTTTAATAAAATCACAATAGTTTTAAATTGAAATTATTTATCTAAATAAAATATTAAAAATATTCTTTATGAACAAAAATAATTTATTAATAATACCATTTAATAAAACTAATAATTTATATAATTCTGATAATTTTTCAAGTGATACTTTATTGTAATTGATTAACACTTTATATGATTGCTAACACTTTACAATGTATAAATGTCATGTACTTTACTCTATGTATAAATTTGTGTATTTAGTTAATATATGAATTAAAATCAAAGCGATTCTTACCTTAGGTATCATTATTCTTACAGCGAATATCACTTTAACCACACATGGATTACAAAACACAATAATTGTTGAAAAGTGTGATATATTTAATGTATTAGAAATTACATAATTCTGTGTTTATTATTAAACATTAAATGGAAATATAAATTGAAAGTTTCATTGCATTCAAAACAAACAACTGAATAAATTCTGTGGAGTTGTGTTTGGCTAACAATTATTTGGATTTTCCAAAAGCATCTCAAAACTAATGTCACATTTCTATAGCTCTATAAATCCACACATTTTTCCATTAAGTATTTTTAGACTCTTTTTTCTTCGTGTGTTCCACAAGACGCTGAGGATTGGCTTCTGTCCAGAACTGACGATATCATCTCAAGAGGTCTTACTTTTGACAAATAGTGGTTACCATACAGTCTATTAACTAATGATCGCTTTAAAAAGTGTCACTAGTTCCACAAGACGCTGAGGATTGGCTTCTGTCCAGAACTGACGATATCATCTCAAGAGGTCTTACTTTTGACAAATAGTGGTTACCATACAGTCTATTAACTAATGATCGCTTTAAAAAGTGTCACTTGAGTCGACACTCAAACCCAGAGACAACCACAAAGAAAATCCATTTAAAGTCATTGTCACAACAATTAGTGCCCAAAATATGTTTTATATATTGTTTAAAATAAAATGAATAATTATAAGGATTTAGTTGTAAAGAATTTTGCATTAATTAGTTGAATACATTTGTTGGTGAATTTTACAATGTCACAATTTAACATATTTACCATATATCGTTCAAATTAAAATGATCTAGACATACACACAACTCTTCCGTAATTTAATTTACAGTTAAATAATATGGATTACAAATAAAATTGTGTAATTCATTAAAACAAATCATATGCACTCCAACAGGATATCCGAGTCATTCAATTTTGTTGTATTAAAACTATTCGTTTATAATATAAACTTTATATTGTACCTAAAATACTGAACAGTAAATATATGTTTTTTATATGTTTTGCATGAAAATAATACTATTCCTGATGAATAAATTTTTTATTAAACAAATAGTAATTGAAAAAATTAGCACTTTATTGTATTTAATTAAAAATTATAATGATACACAACCATGGTCAGAAAACTAAAGTTCTTTTAGTCTAACTAAAAATTTTATTTTGATTTGATGTAAATGATTTATTAGCAAAGGTTGTAATGTACCAAGGAATATTTGTTTCATCTAAAATTTAAGTTCAGTTTTAATCACTAAATAGTAAGAATAATTTATATTAATATAATTTAAAACCCTATAATTTAATACAATTAGAGTGTTACAGACTTTTACAATATTCGGTTTGTTATACAATTTTCTATAACAATTGATCAGTTAAACAGTTAGAATTTAATTTAAAACACAAATGCTGTACAGTATATAAATAAATATAAAACTCGTAAAATTATTTTGATATTAATTCAAAAATTTTACAAAATAAGCATTTTATTATTTACTAAAAATATATTTATTAAGAAATTAAAATATACTTAAAATTAAAAGGCTTTTAAATATTTTGTGAGCAGTAATTAAAACTCTAGAATCGTATATCAAATTTAAAAAACTATATTTTATATGAGAAACTGTCGCGAATGAAATAAAACCCGGATTTTTATTTTGTTTCAATTTGATTTCATTTCTTAATCACTAGATATAAAAATTATATCAATACATGAAATTAAATTAATTAAATACATATTCATCCCATAAATTGTCAAGAAATCCCGTAAGAAATCAAGAAATTATTTCTAATACAAATTGACAAAACAAAAATCGGGATTTTATTTCCTTCGGATTATAAAGAAATGCATACAAAGTTTATGTCATAGAATAGTATGCATTGCCATTGAATTGCAATTAAACACTATTTCGTCTGTATTTCACAATTTGTTTGGAGACAAAAATCAATTAAAAATAAAATTACTTTTGGCTTCAGTTCTAAATGTTTTGTAAAATATTGTTTTCGCACTTTTTTGTCAATAAAATGACAAAATGTTTTGCTTTGAACTAAATATACTGTATATAAACGCTATAATAAATAAATGCTTTGATTTGCAAATTGAGGCAAAACATGGATTAATTGAATGACAAAATGATGACAAAACTTGTAACAAAATTTGTAAAAAGTTAGACTCAATTTGAGATCTTTTTAATATTTTAGTGACATTTGGAAAGACAGAGGCTTTCACATCAATTTACATGTCGTATAATTAAGTGAATTCATATCCAATATTAAAACTTAAACCACCGATAATTGAACAGAAAAGGTTTTAAAGTAGAATTTTAAAATTAATCTACCATGTTAGGATTATGTTTTAAAATTATATTTGAAATATTTTATAATTGTGATTACTATCAATACAACAACTTTTACCCTAATAAAAGAATTTTAGAATAAATATTTTACTATATTAACAAAATGTGTGTTAAATGAAAAAAGTTGATAAAATGTAAATTTACATTCATATGCTATTTCCATAATAAGTTATATTATTTGTCCATAAAAGTTGTAAAATATCTACCACTTTATATGTTACCTGATATAATGATGGCATGTATAATGTGCTCATTACCTGTGCCTCTAAACAATTCATTCAACTCAACGCCCATTCATTTAATGGATAATTGTTAGCAAAATATGGTTTTCATTCAATTCAATGAATGCAAAAAAGGTGTTAATCTTAATAAAAGTTGTATAAAACAAAAGTTTTTGTATCTATTAATAGACGTATTGTTTGTATTGACTGAACGTTGTGTTTGCGATCACGTGTTGAAGCGGTTGTCAATTGGCGGCCAATTGTCTGCAAAACACACTTTTGTATCACTTTTTTCACACAATTTAGTAAATAAGTCAATGATTTGATGGCAATCAGCGCCGCATTGGTCTTCATAGGTGTGATTGTGTCCGCAAATTGTGTCAAACTTAATGAAAGGCGAATACTATTGCCGTTCAGTAATGGTGTGAACACTAACTTCACGTTAGAGGCAACCAATGAGAACTGCTATCAATGGTAATCACTATCACCTGTCAATCACTTACCATTTCAAGTGTCTTAACCCCGCGTTTATATGTCAGGTCGTCGTCACGTCTGGATGTGGCCAGAGTTGAGCCGTTGGACGAGTCGAAGAGCTGTTCTCGACAGGCGGTGGTGTCTGTCGTGTCAACGGTTGCCAAACGCCAGTCATCGGTAGTGACGGCCACTGATAGCGGTATGCAACGGCTTTGCAATGGGTTTGTGTTGTTTGAGTTATTGTCTAATTGTTCGCCAAAATAGCTTCTGGTTCTGTCATCCGATGCGATGTTGAGGTCGATGTCATCGATTCCATCGAAATCGTTACCACTTCTCATGAGATTGTTTTGGAAGATTTGCCGGAGATATTGGAAGTGAAGGCCAAGAATGATAAGAGTAATGACAAATGAGTTGCTAATTGATTAACGCATTGTTAATAATATCTGTGATCTATCTTCAGATGACACGTTCACATCAATCGCTGGCATTCAGTTTGAGTGGACTCTCAGTCCCGTCGATATACTCAGGTATGGAAGCGTTGTTTTAATTCTAATGACAAGTAATTAATACTAGAAATACTGACATTGACTGACATAAAACAGATACCGAACGTGGTCTTCATCGGCCTATACCGGGCCTCCATTTGTGCACTTCTGGGAATCGCGTGAATTGAAAGGATCGGCAATACTTATAGAAGGCATTCGCACGGGTTCTGCGAAAGTGACGGCACATATAGTGGGCGACGATTATAAGAAGGTAAAGACGGCCGAAATCACACTCCATGTGGTGGCAAATCTGGGACTCATTCCTCCAAATGTGGTGTATTTGATGAGAGGATCTAAGATCGAGTTCAAGGCAGAGATGACCAAACAGGGCCCTCGAGTGGCACTCACTCTCCCTTCTCCTCAATACTATCTGAAAGTATTGGACCCAAAGATTGCCAAATTAGACGAACAAAGCAGTCAAGTGGAGGCCATCAAAGAGGGTCACACATCGCTCTTATTATTAGACAGAAATGTGGCCACAAGTGAGAGCTCACGGCAACCGACCACTGATATCCATGTCATGACTCCGAGTTATGTCTCAATACAAGTAACGCCGGGCGAGAACTTTGCGTTGTGTGAGTTCACCAGTTATGTCGTGTCGTTTACCATACACGACGACTGGCACCATAAGCTCTATCCGGCGCCTAATCTCGACCTCAAAGTGACGTTTCCTTCCCGTTATTTCCATGTGAACGAGTCGTCCACTAATGGGACCTTTCATGTGATCCGAACTATCAATTCTGGGAATTGCAAGGTTTGTCTCATTAGATACACATTTAGTTCAGATTTAATATAAACCTCGTTTACGGTTTAGATAACAGCGCAACTGTTAGGCGCTGGAAGTGCTAAACTGGCCGTTCCTTTGGAAGTGTCTCAAGAAGTGACAATATATCGTACACTACTTCTGACTCCGAGTCTGATTCTATTGCCATGGATTCCATTACTTAAACCTACGTATACTGTATTCGTGACGGCCAGCGGTGCCACCGGTCAGTACCGATGGGTGACGAACAACAGTTTGGTTGCGACCGTTAAATACAAACAGGAGTTGTCTTCTCGTGTCACTGTTGTGACCAAAGAGGAAGGCGTGTCATTAATCAGTTGCCAAGACGTTCACAATTCTGTCTTCTCCGCTAATATGAAAGTATCGGTACAACCGGTGGTTGACATCGAAATACTTCCCGTTGTATTGGAGACACACATCGGCGGAACTGTCATTCTTCCGATTGCTGTCTATGGCTACGAATCGGATTCATCGAAGACTAAGCGTGTGTTTGACGACTGTTCACAAATACCGTTTGACGTTGAGATCGTTGAAAAGGTTTGTGAATACAATTTTTTAAATATTTGTGATAATAACGAATTGTATGGTTAGACTCGCGTTAAATACGATCCGAAAAACATTATGGCGGGCGTCGGGCAGCGCTCGTGTCGTAGTCTGGCGTTTGAGTGCATTTCCACTGGAAATACAAGAGTTTGGATAAGATATGGAAAGGAAAAGTTGAGCACAACTGCAATCATTGGATGCCATTTACCATTGAGAGCCGTTCATCCGGAAGAGTTATCTATTATGCCTTTGGGCGCCATTATTGACGTGGCCTTTGAAGGAGGGCCCCGTCCCTGGACTCTACACCCTGAAGGGCATTACACCAGATGTAAGGATTGTGTTACTTATGCTTTGTTTTAATAATAATAACCTGTTTTGATATGATTTAGTGACCTCTTCGGAGTCATCGGTGGTGTCATCGCATGAGATCGTCGATCGGTATCGTTATAATAAAGATCTTCACGTCTATCGTGTGAAATGTCTCCAATACGGAGAGACATCGATCGAGTTAGATGTGGGCAATTTGGCGTCGCCTACACTTCCCAATCCCGCCAATGCAAAGGCTGAGATCAAAGTCCATTGCAGTCGACCCGTGTCTCTGATTATAAAACCAAAACTCAAGTCTTCGTGTCCATTGTCTGCACCGCAAGACTCGGTATTTCCCGTCGAGAAGAATCAAAACACGGAGATTGAAGTGGAAGTGCGCGACGACTCCGGACGAGCTTTTTATAACATATCCACACTTGATATCATGTGGAATGTCGACGGTTTGGACGATAGCATTGAGATTCCCAACGGAGTGAAAGAAGTGGTAAACGGCGCCAAAGGATACTTTTCCATCACTAGAAACGTCCAAATTATGAAAGAATTTCTCACAAATTCCGTGAAAATAAGCGCAGAAATAGTTGGATATAAAAAGCAATATAAAGAAAAATTCAGAATTAGAAGTGAAATTGAATTGATTTCTGTGGATAAGGGAGCCGTCGATTCCGACAATATTGCCATTTTTAACCATCCAAAGCAAAAGGTTAGCACTTTATTAATTATAATATAATTAATTGTACACTATATTATATTGAATTATTTGCTTATTTTTGTCCATTTTTAGCAAGAATTATGAAGTTCTCATGACTTCATTCACTCTTATTCTATGTCTATTTTCTCTTTAATCTAAAGTTTGCTTAACTGTTGTGCGGTTTAGGGATAAGGTTTTTGGGTCTTAATATCTGATTACCGGTGTTTAGGGTTACTTTTGGGTCCCTTTTTTAATGTCTGTTTTCCCAATCATTGAATGCAAGACTAATTGAATCCTAACATTCTTGTCATAACACACTCGTCACCGTTATATTTGCTGGTAATCATCAGTTTTAGTCAGGATTTTAATTGTAATTTATAATGAAAAGCACGACATTTGAGTCAACTATCAATACGTTAAGTAATGCTTAATATATAAGAGAAATGAATTTACATTTATGTTGTGTTTTTAGTTTGTGGTTAACATACGGAAGGGTTCGGGATATTTCGGCATTGATTCGGAATTTGAGCGACAATTCATTAATATTAGTTTCAAACAGCAATCAAAATCATTTACAGTGAGTTTTATATAACTTAATGTTAGAATAGGTTTTAAGATATTTTGTTATAAAATGAATAGATTGTCCCGAAAGCGATCGGCGGCGGAACCATTCAAATCAACGACTTGTGTCTCACATCTTACGGAAGCACTGATTTATATTATTCTGTTGTCGAAGCGACTGAAGTACACATTGAAATCGTTGATAAGTTTCAATTGGGAAATGTAATCGAGGGATATCTCACTGTAATTGACAACAATGACAATTACATCGACTCTTCTAACCATAAATTACTTGATTTAATGCCTATTCTGTCGAACAAAATATTAAGTTTTAGGTATTTGTTACTGAATTGTATTAACATTTTGGATGTATTTAATGTCGATAATTATTTTTTTATAGCAATCTAACAGTTTTTGATGAATTGAAGTCAAGTTTTAAACTGAAAGGCGAAGAGTTAGGGACGAGTACTTTGCATTTTGTGAGCAAATCGTCACAAAGTGGTTATATTGAGAGTCTTGTCGTTAATATACAGGTTTGGTTTATAAATGGTTTATATATTACCGTATATTTAATACTATATCGACTGTTTAGGTGTTCTCTCCGCTGCGAATAGTGCCCTCCAATCTAACACTTATAGTCGGCGCTCACTTTCAGGTGACAACACTCGGAGGACCACAACCCCAGAGGAATATTGAGTACTTGTTGAACGACAAGTCTGTGGCCAGAGTTGACGCAAATGGTCTCATTGTTGGCACAAAATTAGGAAAAACAAAACTAATTGTCAGAGTGTTAAGCGTTGAGAACATTGAATACTCGAGATCTGACATTGACTTACATGTGGTCGCTCTCAACAAAATCAAAATTGTCAGCCCTTCGAGTCAATTGAGAATTGGATCACAACTTCCACTGCAACTGATGGGCGCCAATGAGTTTGAGACGCCGTTCAGTTTCGGTTCAGCCATTCCTGCGCTCAAAATCACATGGAGTTTAAGCAATAAGAAAATCGCTACAATTGGAGGTGTCTTTCAAAATGTATGTCTTAACACAAATTTATTAAATTTCTTACATTTAATCACATATTTATGTTGATTATAGTCTGGAATAATTGACAAAAGCTTTGAGTCGATATCAGTTAGACTGCAAGCTATTACCTCAGGTGTGGTAACAATCAAAGTAATGGTTGAGACACAGAATGCAGTGAAGGAATCGGCGTTTCAACAAATAGAAGACAATGAGATATTAACGGATTCGCTACAAATTCATGTCTTTCCCTCATTTTCGATCGTATCGAACGGCTATAACATCGACGAGAAAGTTATCTTAATGTCACCCAATTCTCAGCTCTCGCTTCTCTCTAATCGTATCGGAGAAGCGGACTCACAGTTTGAACTCATAAATGCGGCCAATGTTAAGATGTCGTGCGGCGCCGACCGGTGTTTGAAGGCCGGCATCACTCCCGAGGTCTGCTCTTTAGTTGTGAAGACCAGCGAGAAATTTGGAGTCACTCTCACCTCAGTGTTCAGCGTTAGAGTCGACAAGATTTCTTACCTTATGGTTAACTCAATTGATTCCGTAATATCCGACGAATCAGTGAATGTGTTTCCGATTGGTTCGGAACTACAAATTGGTGTTTCATTTCACGATAATATCGGCAAAACGTTTGACTCGATTCGCTCACAAATCCAGTCTTAACACAAATTTATTAAATTTCTTACATTTAATCACATATTTATGTTGATTATAGTCTGGAATAATTGACAAAAGCTTTGAGTCGATATCAGTTAGACTGCAAGCTATTACCTCAGGTGTGGTTACAATCAAAGTAATGGTTGAGACACAGAATGCAGTGAAGGAATCGGCGTTTCAACAAATAGAAGACAATGAGATATTAACGGATTCGCTACAAATTCATGTCTTTCCCTCATTTTCGATTGTATCGAACGGCTATAACATCGACGAGAAAGTTATCCTAATGTCACCCAATTCTCAGCTCTCGCTTCTCTCTAATCGTATCGGAGAAGCGGACTCACAGTTTGAACTCATAAATGCGGCCAATGTTAAGATGTCGTGCGGCGCTGACCGGTGTTTGAAGGCCGGCATCACTCCCGAGGTCTGCTCTTTAGTTGTGAAGACAAGCGAGAAATTTGGAGTCACTCTCACCTCAGTGTTCAGCGTTAGAGTCGACAAGATTTCTTACCTTATGGTGAACTCAATTGATTCCGTAATATCCGACGAATCAGTGAATGTGTTTCCGATTGGTTCGGAACTACAAATTGGTGTTTCATTTCACGATAATATCGGCAAAACGTTTGACTCGATTCGCTCACAAATCCAAACTCAATTGATTCCGTAATATCCGACGAATCAGTGAATGTGTTTCCGATTGGTTCGGAACTACAAATTGGTGTTTCATTTCACGATAATATCGGCAAAACGTTTGACTCGATTCGCTCACAAATCCGATGGACTCTCTCGCGCAACGATCTCATCACTATATCTCGCGGTTCAGACAATAGCACTCTTAAGATCCGATCGCTAAAAGAGGGCCGAACTTTGGTGCGAATATATGACAACGAAAACAATATCGATTATTTCAATGTAGACGTCGGACCCGTTATCGAGCCCTACGATCTGAGTATAAGTGTTGGTCAAGTGGTTTGTCTGCAGTGCAAACTTCAAACATCTAAAACAGGCGTTTGGTTCGTCGAAAATCCATTAGTTGGTGAAATCGGAACCGATTCGGGAGTATTTGTGGGTCGAAGCGGTGGACACACACTCATTGGTTGGAAATCCGCAGACGGCGTGTCCACGTATACACCCGTCACTGTGAATCCTCCGCAAGAGTTTTCATTAGACACAAGACATTTGGTTGGAATCACTAATATTATCAGTCAATCGATTCCAATAGTTATTGTGAGTAAAAGCCAAAGCGTTAATCGCAGGCATTGCGGCAATTCAGCCAATTTGCAAAGCATTGGATCCGTTAAAAGTCCATTTTCTTGTGAGATTATGTTCGATAGTGTCCTCCAAATGAAACCCATTTGGAATATTCACATTGAATTTGACAGTAATTCCGATCAATGGTTGTGTGGTTTTGAGCCTAAAAGTGACTTAAATTTGGTAGAAATGGCTTTAATTAACACCAATTTATCCGTTTCTGTGATCATGTCGTCCACCGCTCGCGACTCAGATAATAACAGGCCATTGATTCACACCATTAGTGTTCCGTTTGTGCCCGCGTTTGATGTTTCACCGAAACAAGTGATCCTAAGTCTGGATCAATCGGAAACCCGTCTAACCGTTCACTCCATACCATTAGTTCTCGAAGACTTAACTATTATAGCATCAAATCCTGAAGTGATTAAAGTCTCAAAGTCTGAAATAACCGACAATTCATTAAAAATCATAATATATTTGATAAATGCGGACATATTTTCCAACGATGTCTCAAATTTGCACATTTCTCTCAACTCGAAGATTACGAAACAAATGCATAGAATTCCCATTCAAATCAAACTCTATCGACAAAACATTCAACAAATTTCACCCTTTTATATGTTATTCAAAGAATATTCAATCCCATGGATTGGCTTCACTGTCATCGTTGGTATTGTTTTGGTTATTGTGTTTTCAAAGTACTTTCAGTCAAAAGTGATGTTTAGTGCGGGCGCGACCACAACAGTGCCATCCAATATGGGCTCTCCATTCCTGGCCGACGCTCACACGCCTTCAATGAAAGGACACAGAGGTATGACATTTCATATTATCCTAAATTTAATGTTTTCTAAAAAATAACTTGAAATGCATTCCCAATTAGCGTTGAACTACAGCCCAACACAACCGCAAACGCAAACGCCTACCACTTCTACTCCACGGGTCGGACGACCGCTGTATTCAGTGCCCAATACATGAGTGTTTAAGTGCTTAACTACTGTACTAGTGATGAGATTTGAGTAAATTTTAATTATAACAAATTGTTTATATTTATATACTTTTTGATAGCAATCAACGATAGCTCGCATTCGTTTCAATTGCATTTCTATTAAACAAATTATTTGAATTAGTAATACATTATTAAGAGCTTAATTTTCAAGACATTTCATTACACACTAACTGTTCTACTCTTCATAATGTGTTGAATTATTCTAATTATTATTAAATTAAATAATAAATTTTGTGATAATTTTTAAGTTTTTTTTAAAATTCATAATTAATTTTATATAAAGCAAGTAAATATTTGAATAGTGTTGGCACGTATTTGTCGTCAATAAATATGATGGTTATCTCCGATAATTGATTGTCAAAGTGTTTTTTGTTTACTTTTCCTAATCACTAAAAAAGTTTGTTTATAAAATTGTTGATC